TAATACGATGAAAGATGAGAAGATATCCATTCAAGGAATGCCAAGAATCCCAAACAAAATAAAGCCTAAAAGAAAATCACGAAGACATATCATCAAACTCACCAAAACCAAACACAAAGAATCCTGAAAACAACACAGGAAAAATGAAAAGTGACCAACAAAGGTCAACCTGAGCTCTGATTTCTCAGCAGAAACCATGCACAAAAGAAGGCAATGAAGTGATATAAATAAAACCATGAAATGAAAAAAATGCCAACCAAGAATTATATACCCAGTAAAACTGTCCCTCAAATATGTAGGTGAAATTAGGATATTTGCATATTTACAGAAATGAAGGGAATTTGTTAAAACTCGACAAACCTTAGAGATGCTAAGTGAGGCCTTTGGACACAGAACCAAGAAAAACAGACAATCAACTTCCGGTAAGATGGAGGAATAGGCAGACAAGCGACACAGACCTTCTTCAAAAAAGAAAAGAAAAACCAATTGACAGAGACACAGAAGATAATCCTGGAACCCTGAGCTTTGAAAGAAACTATACAGAGTTGGTTAGGCACCAACTAGTGGAAAAACCTGAACAAAAACAGTGAGTACAGAGACGGTCAGAGCTGCGGACTATCAGCTACTCTGACAAGATCCAAACCCTGAATATTTCTGAGAATTGATCTAAAGATCAGTCCCGGTCACCAACAGCTACAGGGACAACAGCTCTGGTGGCCTATGATTAGGAAAGGAAACAGCAAGGAGGGAAACAACCTGAGCTGTGGACTTTCTGCTGTCCGGAGGACGTAGCCATTTTGATTGTTTACACATGGCAGCCATTTTGCATATTTAAAGTGACTTAGTGCCTAAGAAACTTGACTGCTAACCAGAAGGCTGGTGGTTCAAACCCACCAGCCACTCCTCAGAAGGAAGATGGGGCAAACTATTTCCATAGTGATACTGCCTTGGAAACCCAAGGAGGGGTCACTATGAATCGGGCCCAACTTGACAGCACATAACAACAACAAAACAACAAAGTGACCTAGGGTGAAGCCATTTTGAATGTTTACAAGGGGTGGCCATTTTGGATAAAGTGATTGAGGTTGCAGCCATTTTGAATGTTTACAAGTGGCAGCCATTCTGGATATTTAAAGTGACCAAGCATGCAGCCATTTTGAATGTTACAAGCGGTGGCCATTTTGGATAAAGTGATTGAGGTCGCAGCCATTTTGAATGTTTACAAGCGGTGGCCATTTTGGATATTTAAAGTGACTGAGGGTGCAGCCATTTTGAATGTTTACAAGCAGCAGCCATTTTGGGTATTTAAAGTGACTGAGGGCACAGCCATTTTGAATGTTTCCAAGTGGTGGCCATTTTGGATTTTAAAGTGATAGCACTCTCATTTGGATTCCAGGGACCTAAGAACAGGCTCTGTTTACCAGGGTTGGTAAGGATATACGAGAGGCTGACAACAGGAAAGGAGACAGGTGGTGAGTGTGTAAGTGCTGTCAACTAGTGACTAGAGGAGCACAGCACAGTACCCTGCCTGTATAGATACCATACAAACAAAACAAAAAAACAAAAATTGTGGCAAGTCACTCCAACATGTAATCACCAATTAAATATAAACACAAAAACGTCACAATGCCTCGGAGACAACAGAGCATCACAGTCCACACAAAGAAGTAAGATAAAGCAGGAGAAAAAAGGAACAGGGATACAGACTCAAAACACATCCCTGAGGAAAATGCAGCATTGGAACTCCCTGATAAGGAATTCAAAAGAA